GCTCCCTGTTTGGCCCTGTTTGCTAGTTAAGGGGTTGCAGCGCCCACCAGCAGGCCAGCCCCAAATAATCGGAAGCGGTGTTTGCCACCGTGGCAGCCACACCACGAGACACGCCTGGCACTTCGGGACCTACACGTGCCCTTCCTGGCTGAGGAAATACAGGCCCACCTACCTGGCGGGACTGTAGTTGGTTATGGCTATGGCTGCATTTAGCGCACTGACGCGGTCGCTGCTTCAGGCTATTTGAGGCATGATGAAAGGGCAGCGAATAGTTCCTGAAAATGATGACTGTCGCGTCAGAAGGGATTTGGGGTTGGGGCATCCCTGGGATCAAAGTAACTCAGCCCGCCTTGACGGCGAGCTGGACGGGGCCGCTTGGCGAAACGCCCCAGACCGTCTGCGCTGCGTTCGGCGCATCTAGCAGAAGCGGCGCGCGCGGCTGCCATTAACTCGCTCGCTCTGCCGCTGCCCAGTCTCTGGCCCGCAACAGACGCGCCTGCGCCCCGCACCAGGACAGGGCATGCCAAAAGTCTGAAACGAGACTCGCTGGAAACGACCCCTCACTGAGCCGTTCTTATGGCAACCGAGCTGGAGCGATAAACACTCTCCCGCGCGAGCGTACCAGAAGGAAGATCTTCGGCAGGCAGGCGCGGCGCGGAGGGAGGCGTGTGGTTTGGTTGGGCTTTTTACGCGTCCGAGGAGGAACCACCTGTGCGTATTCCCTTTTAGCCGGAAGCAGAGAGGGAAGTCGCCGGGGTCTCGCCTGCAGCCGCAGCCGAGAAGACTCACCTGGGTGCCTGGCGCCCTCTGGAACCTGTGCGCCGTTGAGCGCGGAGCTGGTCCCAGCCGCGCCATGGGGTGCTCGAGCAGCGCTCAGACCAAAGTCAAGGACTACAGCCGGCAAACTCCTAAACCCCCGGATGCCAACGGAGTGCCCCAGTGTGGTGAGTGGCGCCTTCGCTCCGCGGCTTTGGACGTGCGCAAAAGTGGAGGCGGCGCCCTCGCAAGAGCTACCCCTTTAAAGAAGCAGAATGTGGGGAAAGGGCCGTAAGAGAGTCAAGGCTGGAGAAGCCTGGCTGTCAGGCGGGCTAAATCATCGCGGAGGAGGAATAGCGATTTTAGGAAATGCAGCTTTTTTCCACGTCTGCATCTGAACAGCTGCTTAGCTGCTTTCGTTGCTTCCTCTCCAGGATCAGATCATGCCCTCTTCTGTAGTTGGCTGTCCTAGTTTACTCCCCCTTTCTGTACCCCATTCCCGCATCGGATGATAGGTAATTTCCAGCCTCCAACTACAAAGGTTAAGCTTTGCTCTGGTCTTGCCCCTGTGCTCACTATTGTCCATTCTCTGTGGCTCATGGAGGAAATCAAAAGAGGAAAACCACTTAATCGTTCATTATGGCTTGACCTAGTCATAAAGTTCCATTCTAAAAACATGCAGTAGATCCTGGGGAATAAATCCTCACTTTGTTGAATGATGCTGTTTACAAAATTGAGCACAGGATTATTAGCCTTATTTGTAACTAATAATAATGACTTATGGGTCTCTTGGGAAGTTGGTTTGTCCTAATGGTTATTTTCAGCATTTTTTTACTAAATCAAGAAAAACAGTGGTTGAACTGGACTGCTCGAATTCTAAGATGAATTGCACTGAAACTAATAAGTATTATATATCAACTTTAAAAATAGCTATGGAAGATATGCTTTCTTCAAAATTAATTCATATAGTTGCACACAAATTATGCTTAGATTTAAGAAAATATTGATGATACAAATTATTTGGATTGCACTCTTGTGCTCACTTTGATGTGACAAATTCTCACTAAATATGGTAAACCTTACTTCTGACTGAATTTAGGGTTGTGCTTTAAGATCCATGTTCTCTACTTTTGTAAAGTCTTAATTCAGCTGTCTCATTTCTGTTTTTGAAGAACTATATAACTGCTAGTATGTGACAATTTTAGTTAAGTTTTTTAAAATTTATATTCTAACTCTTCTAAATTACCTCTTAAGCCATCTGGTATGCTTTGATAATATAGCACATGAAAGACCAGTGTTACATGCAACATACACTGTTAGGTCTAACCATATTTTTACAACTGTACTGTCAGGAAAGCAGCATTGAAATATGAAGCAAAGTCTGCTAACTTGTGCAGCTTTTAATGCTGATCTCAGAATGGTGGCTATCCTTGAGTACAGTTGTATAAATGTGTTCCCCAGAGTTACTTTCTGTTAGGTACCCATTATTAGAGCCTGGTGGTTCTCAATAGCTAATCTTTGCTGCAAGACGTATAGGTCTTTACTGTGGCTTTTAATACCAATATAGTCAATAACCATGTGGTCCAAAGCTTCTTGTAGAGGTTGGAAGTTGTGGGAGATTCTATGAATGGATGTAGTTCATATTTCACATAAATAGACTTCAGAATTATTGCTGAAGATATTGATGCTGAGAAATTAATCTTTGTCTCTTTGAAAACTATATTGCAGTGTTCCATAAGATTTTGTTCCATCTTTCTATGCCATTTAACGCCTTTCTGAAATTTCCAGAATAATTTGCCTGAGTAAGTGGGGTTATGCTAACTGGATCAGCTAATTTGGACTCAGTTTAAAGACTGGATAAAAATACAGAAACTGAAATTAAGTCCAGATAAGCTGTAATTGTTTATACTGGAATGTGAGACAGCTAGCCAGGAAATTCTTGTTGTAGGTCTTAAGACAACTTGGTGTGTTCCTGAATAAGGTTTTCTCTTGATTTTGGGATGATACTTGTGATCAGGACAATAAAAATGTAAGAAAGGGTGTGTCATTGGGTGAGAAGGAATTTTCTGGGACTTTACCTTATTATTTCAAGATATGTATAGCTCAGGGAGACTCTGAAGTAGCAACTATATTTATTCAAGATGATGTAATTTACAAATACTTCAGAAAATAAACCTGAATTGTCAATGTAAAATGTTCTCATGGGACCTGCAAAAAAAAGTTGGGCTATGAAGTACTTTTGAACAGCTTTCAGTATTCCAGCCAATTAAGCATCTCTTCTCTTAAGATGCTCCATTCTGTTCCTTTTACTATTTGGACTTTTACCCCCAAAAGATAATAGTTTGTATCTATTAAAATGCTCTTTTAGGTTGCTTTTTTGCCCCTCCCCTTCAAGGATTTTTTTTTTATTTTGTATATGTGTGTATACTGTAGGAAACTTAGCGTTCTTCCACTGTATCCCACTACAGTCAAATGACTCCTGGTGGTTAGCATGATAGAAAGAAAAACAACTGTAAACATCCATAGTAGGCATAAAAACTAAATAACAATGAAGTCAAAGATAAAACAACTAAAACATAAAAGCACAGATGGCCCAATTTTGTTAGAATGCTCTCTGGAACAGTTTCAGCATCTTTCTGAACATAGGAAGAGGGCAACTGGATATTTTCTGGCCTTAGCTCCTTCACCTATACGTAAGCACCGTGGCTATATTTAAAATACATTCAATTCTGTCCATATTATTTCCCAATAATTTATTCTTGTAGCAAAGCAACTTATGGTACCCTAAAGAATAACAGTTTTATTAAGTTATAATAAAGCATATGGAAGGGATGAGAGGTGAGTAAATAGCAAATTCAGAAGGAAATAAATGCAAAAAGTTCATAAAAAGATAACTTCGTGATTAACAGTGGCCACAAATATTCATTTCTGTTTCTCTTTCTTTCTTCTTTAAAACACACACTTGATCAACATTGTAAAATCAGATGACAGCTTGCCTATCACAGATAAAAATGACACAGTACCTGACCAAACCAAACTTGAAACAACGGAGGAGGTGGAGCTTGGATCTTCTTGGAAAAAATCAAATGAGGATCTCCCTAAAGAGGAGCCTGATGCTTTGATTCAGGGAATAACAAAATGTGCCCTTTCTACCTGTCACAGAGTAGATCCTGAGGGCACAGAGCCTCAGCTAATGGCACCAGAAGAGAAATTCAACAGAAGTCAGTCCTTATCTCTAGACCTCCTTGAAGCTGGTGGGCCTCAGGCTGTGGAGCCAACAGGGTTGGTTAGCAACCCTCAAGCTGCCTCAGAAGCTGCTGGTTCTTCACCTTCAGAATCTGTCCAGAATAAGAAGCCTGAACCTGTTGAATCCTCAGGAAGTGGCACACCTGAGTCTGTAACAGAGGAAAACCAGTGTCTTGTAATGGAAATTGTGAAGGAACTGCTTATGGATGAAGAGGAACAGCTAACGGAGGGTAACAAATATGCTCTTGCAGTTTCAAGGGGCCGGGTTCTGTCATATATGCCGTTTCCTCTGAGCTCAATCAATTTTTTTACATGCAAATACCTGGGAGCAGAAACTTTTGCTTAGGGATTTGAGCTATGTCTAGCATTTAAAAGTCATAAAAATAGTTTATCCTGGAAAAGTAATAAAAATGTCTATAAGGGCTGTTCCAGATTGAATGACCCCAGTGCTACCAGGTGTTATTTATTTCCTAGTACCAATCCTGTTTGCTTCTCCTTCCAATAACTCTTACTAGATAAGGTGGTAATTAGATAGTGACTTTGGGTGGGAAAGCTCTATCTAGGGGTATATTTACATAATGCAAATGGGACAAAATCATCTCCACTTTGATCTGGGGATGGATCTGCTCACTGCTAATGCTGATATCTTGTTTCAGATCAGATCAAATTATTCTGATGCTTATATGTATCATATAAGTTCAGGCTTCTGGATTCACTTTTTTGGCAAAGTACCATATTGCATTGATATAGGGTACATCTTGTTCAGTCCTTAGCAATGATTAGAAAAATGTGTTTTGAGAAGATAATGGAAAAGAGAAAGTAATGGTCATCCTGCATTTTTACATAAGACATGAAAAACTATTTTTTAGGATAACTGTGGCCCACAAAGATACGTTCTTATAATGTACCAGTACGGTGACAAGATCTATGAAAAATGTGTCCTGCTGGAAACAGGATCTATAGGTTTTTTTATTGGATTACTTTAACAAAATAGATAAATATTGGGGAATGGGAATTCCATCTATATGGATCTATATGTTTTGACTTGAAATGCCAATGGATCAAAGTGGTTTAATATAGCTTTAGTAATTTGACTTCTAAATAGTTTTACCGATTATTTTTTCAAAAGAATCAGCCACAAACAAGCTAACATAAAGGATAAGAATAGTTGCAATGATAAACAAAGAGCATTTAATGACTGAATTCTTAAGAAACAACAAGTGCCTCTATCTCAGCTGGCAGAAACTAGGTTTCTCTTGCACTTTGTTTTTCATATTTAAAGAAAATCTGTGGCTGACAAAATGACATCCATAAAGTGTTGAGACACTCAGTGCTCTTTTCAGTGTTCCTTGCCTTGATCTCTGTAGTTACTGTACCAGTAACTAAAACCAGTAACTTTTCTCCTGAGACAGGAGAAAAGATGGAAACTGAGACGCGCCATGAGATAATACATGGGGCCTCGGAAACAAAAGAAGAAACTGGAGAAGCTACAATGGCCACAGAGATAGGTATGTTGATGGAGAACATAAAAATGTAATATATTAAGAACGCAAAATGCTGAATTGGTATTCTTGTGTGTTCTTGCTTATTTAAATACAGCAGATATTCAGGTAGCAGCCTGCCAATTGATATGTGCATCTGCTTGGGATTTCTTTGAGTAAGTATTTCACTAGACATGATGGATATGCGTATTTAAAAGAGAACTAGGGGTATAGGATGAATCAAAGATGGAAGAACCTCAAAGTTCATATAGTCCAATGTCCAATGTACTAGAATCCCTGAAAGATGTCTATCTGCCCTATTTGAAGACCTCCAGCAAAGAACTCACCACTTTATGTGACAGCCTGTTCCACTGACTGACAGCTCGTACATTCAGCAACTTCTTCCTCATATCTGGCCTGAACCTCCTTCCTTGTAGTTTTAACTCACTGGTTCTGGTCCTGCCCTCTGAGTAGAGTATATAGAGTAGAAGTCCACTACCTCTTCTGTGTGACAGTTCTTTATTTGAAGACTGCTGTCATTATTTCTCCTCAGTCATCTCTTCTATAGGCTAAACATTCCCAGATCTTTTAACTGTTCCTCAAAAAGCTTGGTTTCAAGACTCCTCACCATCTTTGTAACCCTTCTCTGAATACACTCCAAGATGTCACTGTCTTTTTTGAACTGTGGTGTCCAGAACTGGACAGAGAATTCCAAATGGGGTCTGAGTAGGACAGAGTATAAATGCAACAGTTAAATCCTATGATCTAGGCTTTATGCTCCTGTTAACATAGTATTTGCCTTTTTATCAGCTGCAACGCACTGCTGGTTCATGTTTAACTTTGACTTGTTAGAACTTCCTGGTTTCCACATTCCTATACTTGTACCATTCATTTTTTCCCTATAATCCTTCTCCTTGCCACTCTCCTCCAAAGATTATTCTCCAAAATTCTTTAATCATAACTTTCTGCACCATGATAAAGAAATAATGATGCAGGGGACAAGCTGCATCGAAGCAAGCTGCAAGTTGGAAGATCTAGCATTTAATTCCTGTGCCCTCACCCAGTCAGTCGGATCCCTCTTTTAAAAGTGAAAGTATCTAGTTTGGCCTTAAATCTTTTGATGTAAACCAGCTAGTTAAGAATAATAGGCTGGAAGTACTTGGAAAATGAGATGCTTAATTAAACACTCTTAATTCCATAGTTACTATTTGCCAAACTTGTTTAAGTAAAGTTTGGATTATTGCCATAGCTTTGGGATTTCCCATCCTCACTCACTTGAATACCTGGAAATCAAAACAAATAAAGGCAACAAATTAAAAAAGATGAGAAGAAAAGCAAAAAGGTCTGTCCTTCAATGTCTTTTCATTGCTCCTGACGGCAAAGTATTTAGGGGGGAAAAAGCCCTCATCAGGTGAAGCTTGACACCTGATGATTTCATGGATACATCCATGTAGTTTCCTTGACAATAATATGGAAGTAATGTACCACTGACTTCTTCCAATTTTTTTTTTCTTCCCAGTCTGATTCACTGCCAAGGTATTTTTTAATTGTCTCCCATCAAAGTACTAACTAGGTCTTACCCTGCTTAGCTTTTTGAGATCTTCCAGGGCTGGCTACATGCTACCACAGTGCTGAGATACTGGAAAGTAGTATTTGTTATTAAAGGTTAGGCATTAGTGATGCATTAGACCATCTCAGAATAAATGGCTTTTAGTTTTGAAATATTGGCCTAGAGTTCATAACATGGTTTGTCTTGGTATGTTCTTATTCATTGTTTATAAGCTGTGGTTTGTTACTTAGTGTGTTGTATAACCCTAACCATTATGTTGGAATAAATAGTGGCAGAAGACTGTATTTGCCTTTCTGTCGCTCTTTAGGGAGTTGTCTTTTCAATCTTTCAAAATTACCATCAAGAAAAAAAAAGTTAATGTTCCCCTCACTCTTTTTACTTTTTCTTTAAAAAGATTTCTAATCATTCATTTTCTCTATAAGATGTAAAAAAGTTTACTCTTAATTAGAGATGTAAAATGTGTGGAAGCTTTGAAGAATGGAAAAAGCCATTTTTTATTTCAAACTTGGCAGTTTAATTTTTAACATTCTTTACAGATATTAAATGACTTTAATATATTACACCAGTTCTGCTGTACCGT